ACTTGGTCTTTCAACGACTTTTTAGTCGTAGCGCCATCTATGAGAAACCGTTGTTTCGTTCCATGGTTTAGTTGGCATAGCGTCTGGCACGGTTTGCTGGGAGACGTTGCTTCGAATCCAACCGGATCGATATGAATTTTTCTGTTTGAACTTTGTTTAATAATTGTTATTTTTATCTGTTTTTCTTTCTCAAAACCTTCACTTGCCATATAAATGTTCTTTAAAATATAACATTTTTATAGGTGACTCAAGAACATATAGCTACGTAGTTGCGCTTTCCACGGAACGCTATCCACCAGACTGGAAAGATATGCTCTATCTCGCTAAAATTATTCCTCGCGTATGCCATAATGTTAACAGGTAAGCGTTTTACTGCCTTGCCTATGAATTTACTGTGCTAAATACCTACTATCCCGTTTTGAATCAAATGCTAAAAAAATGTAACCAAATTAATAACATCTTCAATTTTTAGGGTTTGCTATGCATTTGGAGGTCTTATAAAGGAGCAAGTGACAGATATTACTCCGACGTTCCTCACACAGCAGGTCGTGTCAACTATTCGCCAGGCTGACGACCTTGCTACGCAGGTACTAAATATAATAACGCACAAACTCATAGCCTCGCACTAGAGAAACCCTGTATCGCGAGTGCCATCGACACACACATAGACAACCACAAATTACACCCAAACTAACGAGAAAAATAAATGCTACAAGGCTATACAAATATTACTTCCGGTTTGGGAATAGAACCCAGAACCTCTGCGTGGCAGCACGATAACCATATCACGGAGGCAGTTGAAAAATGTTACACACTGAAGTTAATATAGATTCATATTTTTTTGTTTACTGGCTCTACTTATTACCGGGACTCAAAACCAGGACCTTCACGTCTAGCAGCGACGAAGCATAACATTGAGCCTCTGTATATTGTATTAGTAGTTGTCTATAATATAATAAGTAAAGAAAATATGTGGTTGTGTGCCCGTTAACCTGTTACAAAAAAGAAGTCTTTGACAAAAAAGTCATTCCACGATTCATGTAATTGGCTATTGTAAAACAAATTATTTGAAACACCTCAAAAGTGCAATTATTAATCAAACGTGCGCCTGCGCAGGTGTTAGTCCAAAGCGGGTACGCGTCGCGCATCGCACAGATGCCGGTGGTGCTCATCCCCATCCACTTCGACCGTGACGCGGCGGTGCGCGCGCCCTCTTGCCAGCGCTCCGTCGTGCTGCGCCCCTTCATCTCTACCGACTTCATGACCGGCATCGCTGCGCTGCCTGGCAGCGATGCTATGCCGCAGGACGTAAGTTCACAACTCAAATCACAATTTGACACAATGTCTGAGCACAAATTATGACTGCTACCACTCTTAAAAAGGAGACCAAAAGTGGGATGAATTTCCTTTATTTACTTTATAGGAAGACCAACAGCTTTAAACCAAATTGAATAATAACGATAAAAATCGAAGACCAATTATCCTCACAGATAGAAATATGGAAACTTATTTTCAAAAATTGATTTCGATTCTAATAAACCAACTGTCAAAATAAGAATAAAGAATACAATAACGCAATTAGTAACCATTAGAGCATCGTAACACAGTTTCGACTTTCTTGACAACAACTACATGACCAGTTAAAAGTTTACGAAAACTGACAACCCTGCAAATGTCATTTACTCCTTTGTCATACTCCCTTTGTTATAAAAAAGACCGACTATATGGTGCACAACTTAACTAACCTCGTCATATAAAAAGACAACAGCAAATGTATGAATCAAAGAGTGCCCTAAGCGGGCACTTGTGTTCTCCTTGCCGAAATCACACGTTTTGAAAAGATTAAAATTATAATTAATTGTATAGTCCTCAGTTTTTTGAAGTTCATTGGTCAATATAATATAGCCTAGAACCCTAAAAGAGAATTTCTATTCTCGTTTAGGTTTAAGTAAACATATCACGTACATGTATCATTAGTCGTAATGTCGATTATCGATTATCGATTATCTTTTAAAATCCACTTTTAAACGAAATGTAAACAAAACTGTTTTGGTTGAATTTCTAAAGTAATCACTCAATAAATCGAATAAGTAACACTCACGTATATTTCGAAGATTTTGACTTCACATTTTCCAACAATATTCAGTTTAATAACGTCGTAAAATCGTATTTGTAAAATGGTAGTCAAAAAGTGAGGTTATTTTTTAATTAAAGACGTATGAATAGTCTATGGTTGCATAGTGCTGTACAGAAAAAAAAAACATTCTGTACATTCAATTAAAAGTTTTTGTAATCTCAATCGCAATGGAATGGGTATGTAAGTGTCGTATTCTAGAACTCTACTCAATATGCTCAAATCAGGACTTGAGTATGATTCAAAGCACTAGAAATCATACTCAAGTCCTTGCCATTAGGGTCGTATTTCCAGTGCTTGAAATCATACTCAAGTCTGCTCAAATCCTGACTTGAGCATTGAGTAGAGTTCTGGAATACGACCCTTACGGTCGTATTCTAGAACTCTACTTAATACTCAAGTCAAGACTTGAGTATTGCAGTGAGCACTGAAAATCATACTGAAGTCCCTGCCATTAGGGTCGTATTTCCAGTGCTTGTGTTTCCAGTGCAATACTGACTTGAGCATTGAGTAGAGTTCTAGAATACGACACTTAGTGTAAGGATTTAAAAGTATGACTCAATTAAACAAATCGATTCATTCAATTAACTAATTGATTTGTAGTTTGGAATAAAATTGGCCATCACTAAACCGTCTATGGTCGGGTCAGTTACTTGTTTGTTTACTTTTTGTTTAAAATGGATTGAAACGAAGTATAGTAAGCTAAATAATTGTATTTAATGTTCTAATCCTCCTCAGGTGGTTGACCGAATGCGTAAGGAAGTACTATCCGTGCCAGGCATCTCGCGCGTGCTGTACGACCTCACGCCCAAGCCACCAGCGACTACAGAGTGGGAATGATCCCTCCACGAACCCACCAAAACCCCTTTTATATATTTTTTACTGAACGAATGCACTCAATGGGCAGTGGTCACCTTTTTTAACTCAGTGAATAATGTTTCTCTGTTCTTATTCATCCCTATGTATACACTAATTATGCACGTGCATTTTTGTTCTGTTATAAACTTGTTTGCAATAAGTCATAGACTTTTAATATTAGTACGATACAATAAGGGGCTTGTAAATTGTTGACATGGAAATTTTGATGATGCACAAGATCTGATTAGAATTTTATGTATTCGTGTTTCTAAGTGCCTGTGAATAATACTGCCGCCATTAGTTAAACTATTAGTTTTGTCACAAGCGCCCTTTAAAAAGGCGCTTGTCAGTCAAAACTGAGAAAATATTGTTCAAAGAAGTGAAATATCTACTTTTCCGTTGCGGTAACGTAATACCTTACCCGCTTAGGAAAATAAAATATTTTTGAAAAAATGTCACATGCGCCCTTTCAATTAACGGCGGCAGATATATGTGTAATACTGAGGAAAGTACAATAGCTTTGTATTATATTTTTATGACTGTTGTCAGTTCACATTTTACTGGTATCTCTCTATAGCTAAATCAGATTTTATTCTGTTTTCAATGAATTTATTATTGTATAATATGAACAGAAAACTTAAGTTTCGTTTATTATAATTTTACGTATATTTAGCTCATCCGACCACTGCCCGTCATAATGAACTTTTGTAAATACAAACATTGGTGTCACGACACAAAGTAAATTGGTGTCACATGTTATTGTTAGCTCCACTGATCAGTTTTGTAACTTGTAATAATTTATTAAAAGGCTGTGTAAAAATTTATAAAAAAAAGCCGATATTCCGCGCGACAAGATAAACGTAACGAATCTTGTATGAAATCGTAACACATTGTGTTGTATGGAATGGTTCAGTGTTATTGACTGGAAGTTTCATAATAAAAATTATATTATGCTTTATTTTCATACTGCATTTTATTCTTGCCAATTCCTTATACAATATGTCAATGGAATATTATAAAATTGCAGTAACTAGCAAAAAGTTTGGAAATTAAGAATAGTTTTCAGTTTGTAACTTAACATCGCAACTCAAACATGATGGCATTGAAAAAACATGATTTGAAAATTTAAATAAATATATAATATGTATCTTACTGTGAATAATGAGACTTTTTTATTAACTTTTAAATGAGAATATAATTTTTTTGGATCCATTTAGTAATGTCTTGAGCTTTCAAATTGTATTTTATCAATTCCATCATTGGCTTCATGTGAGATCTAATATCAGTAAAATAATAGTTCACATAAAAAATATATACTACTGTCATTCATTTTCTGGAATTAGTAAATTAATATTCTTTCCAGATGAAATATGACCCCCAATGAAAGTTTCTTCTTCACCTCTGATAGACAAGCCATCTGTCAAATTAGCCTTTTTCTCTCTTAACATCGGTGCTTTCTCCCATCGAGATCCACTACAAGTGCCACAAGAATGCAAAGGAATTAACTCTAATGAAACTGTCCTATTGCCACAATCGGCACATTTGAAGAACCTCTTAAAAGTATCCAAGACTTTCAAAGGATGCCTCTCGTCTTTACAAATCTGTGCTGCTGAAAATGCTGTGTATTTACATTTAGCACATCTAACAGCTTTGCAAGCCAACTTGAATGTATTCAACATTTTCTCTTCCATAGCTTCTTTCTTTTCCAATTTATTGAAATACTTCTCTTGCTCATCGTCTTCATGCTGTCTTATTAAATTTTGATGAATTGATGTTGCTTCTAGAATCTTCTTAAATCTTTCAGACAGGATACCTTTACCTGTTGTGTTTGTTTCTTCATTTGGCTTAGTTTTCTTGCTATCATTTTCGTCACTGCCACTGTTATTCAATTTGTCTAAGGCTCTTTTCTTTCCAGCTTCAGTGCCTTTAGTATTGTTTGGATCTACTTTTTGAATGCCTCCACTTTTCTGAATAAGTTTAACAGCATTTGCTTTAGCCCTTTCTGCAGCTATTTGTCCATAAGACATGTTTAAATCGATTGTTCCACTCCCTTTTAAACTGAAACATTTGCCTAATTTTGGAGAACCAGCTATTTTTTCTTTTAAACTTAAAGTTTGGCTTTGAATAGCATTTGGTGGGCTAAAAATTGGAGAATGTTTTGAGTTACTGGAAGTTTTTGGGCTAGAATTTAATCCAGATAGTTTGTTCAACCTATCAGAATCATTGGTCCTTTGAGTTGTAGGACTGTGCAATATACCAGAGTTTTTATTCAGGGATCCAGCCCCACTTGGGGCTTTGTTCATCATTAACTTATCTCCTTCAGTCTTATAATAGTCACTCAATGACATTAGTCTGTTTTGATCATTTTCCTTCACTTTCTTATTATTCCCTTTTGGTAAAGCAGAGTATGCTTTGCCTCCATAAATTACAGTACTTTTGCCTAGTACCTTGTTCTGTAAACTGACAAGACCTTTTCCCATAGTGGAAGATTGTAACTCTTGCCTCTTTGAAAATTTCTGATACTCCTGCTTAACATGGTAGATACAGTGGTCACCCTGACATAAATTTATAAAAGCAGTACAAGATTCTCCATTCTTCTTCTTGCTTTTACAGACACCTAAATCTTTTGATTGCCCCAAAATCATAACTCGGTCACTTGTCTCTACACTCAAGCAAGCTTGATCTTTGCTGTTCTCAGATCTATCCAATATATTTGGATTCAAAACAGCTACAACAGTGCCTTCTGAAGTCTTCCACAAATCATTATAAGCCTTACGGAACAAAAACATAGAGACAGTCTTGAAATCATCTTTTAAATCACTCAAGGTCCAAATAAGGAATTGATTACCCTTCTGAGACTTTTTAGCTGAGGTTTTCCTAACAATAACACCACCAATAACCCAATCTTGTGTGTTATTTTTTAATTCAACATATTTCTTCACCCTAAGCATGCTTACAGCTTCTCGACCCTGCATGCGTTCAACCAAAGCAGTACTAGATACCAAAGGTTTCGTAATCCTTATACCAAAGACAGGATCAGTATAAATATCTGCTACAGATTTTGCTCTAACTTGTGGAGCACATAATACTTTGTTAACATCTGACTCTGTCACTTCCTGCTTTTTAGTGATAGAATTATTTCGTTTGAACTTAATGTCTAAATTAGTCTGTCGCAATCTAGTCTCGAAATCTACACGCTTATGATGTTGTTCATCTTCTCTTATGTCGAGTATTTTTTTCACTTCTGAACCATAATCGTTGTACTTTCGTTCGGTGTAATTTCTTCGATCTTCGTCGTCCGAAGAATCAGTGTCACCACTGTGAATAGCGGAAGGCTTCTGAGAAATTTGTTTATTAGAAATTTCGTCGTAATGTTGATCATTATCCTCGGATTCGAAAATATTAATTTCACGAACAGCAGTATCTTGTTTAGTCGCACTAGCACTCGGTTCTTCTAAATCAGCACATAACAATTCTTCCAACTGAGACAGTTCGTCGTTTTCTTCCATTTTACCGGCTTAATTATTTAAACAGTTTTCACGAAAAACAAGATGAAAAATAAACGAGTAAACAAATTGGCGCGAAAACCGGAATGAAATTCCCTTCAACTCGCAGCTGTCATTTGACATTGATTAATGATGGTACATTTGCAAATCCTGGTATTTGAATTCTTAGGCTCAATTTGTATTGCGGCGAAACGGAATGGAAGCGAGTTTTTGTTACGATATTATACCTTGGATAATGATCATTATGGTCAATTGTGTAATGTACAAACTAGATACGAGCGAAAATCTTCGGCGGAATGCGCGAGCATTCCGTGGAAGATTAACTAAGTAAGTGGAGAAGTACTTTCTCCACTTAATTAAAACTAAGCATCATATTTCGAGCTGAGTTCGCACTGAACATAAAGTGCCAAATTGACTTCTTTTTACCTAAAGTGACGGTCATGACATATACGTAATGTTTGTTGAAGTCTGCCGACGAGCTAGATTATGCCTTTATGTTAATCAACCTATTAAGAAGACGAAATATTTTTATTTCACACACCAAATTTTTAAACAACAATATTTCTCATTCATTAGCTATATTCGTCAAGAAATAGAATAATAAATAAGAAAGTTTAATGGTCGCTCTTGGTAAATAAATACAAGTGAGTTCACTACCTGCACGGTAGTCCGCCGCGCAGACAAGAAACTGCTCACAGACTATCCAGCATATGGCCCACGTATACAGTCTCGTAGGATACATTGCAAGAGTGCCGGATGACTTGCACGCTGCGACTACATTAGTCCTCCAAGCGACAGACGACAAGGCGGACTGCAATGCAGGATAATCAATGACGCCTTTAAAGTTAACTTTGTAAACGTCCACATTTCTAATTCATAGACAAAACTTTTGAACAAGAATAGATGATTTTCTTTGGACCATTTGGACGATTTATATTTTTTAAATCACGTCTCACCGATTGTCTACAAATATGCCGAGTATAATTTGATGATAATTAACTTGTAAACATTTCACATATGAATCTCCCCGTATAA